TTCCTTCAGTTCCTCCATTCAGATGCTGGCATTATACCTTAGAATGAGTCACCACTTCCATGTAGGAGTATTTCCTGACTCGTCATTTGCATCCTTATGCTCTATTGATGCTGTATAACCTATGGTGCTGGAAACGTGTAACTAAATAAACGAAGAATGCAATCCTAAACTTGTTGGTTGAAATATCGAACCCCAGTTCCTAGTGTCCATGTTTCAAACTACGTTCTTTATGATACCTTTCCAAAATTTAATGACACTAACATACTGTTATTTTGAGACATTCGTTGGTCTTCATACATTGTCTAGTTTGAAGTATGCAATTCTGGAAGTTCCATTGCTTCAGACACTGGCTTCCTCTGTCTCTTCGAAGAGGCGATGGGATGTCTGAAGCATAATTTTTAGAATCCTATGCCTTAAATCCTATAATGAATGAAGTCCAAATAATGTGCCATGATTTTGTTTTACGCTTCTGCTTCCATTATGTGTCTAATGTCGTTATTTAATATTTTGTGGAGAATATCCACTGCTTATGTTCTTTTGTCTGTCAGAGCCCGTCTTCCAGTTGTGTACTGTATATAAAAGTAGCTTAGAAGAAATTACATAAGTGTGACCTGTCTGGCTGGATATGCATACAATAGGATGCTTTCTTACCGACAGTGCTCTCGGCACTGACGTCGGCCACCTAATGTCAATAGCTGAATATAGAGGGTACAATAGTGTTGGAGGTAACGTCAGGGGGTCAGCAGCTGAGTTTCCACGGGATACCAATATGAGTCGTGCTTATTTGGCAGTTAGTTTGCAGGTGCGCAGTAGTATAGGCGTGAAGGTGTCTAACTGGCAAGTTAACAAGAGAGAAATGAGGGAAGAAAGGGTAGAGATTGGCGATGTCATGCACATAGATCTGCGTACAGCAGAAATTATGCGGTAGGACATGACAAAAAGAGTATTGTGTTTAATTCTTTGATTCACATAATACTAGGAAACTGAATTTTATTCACTTTGTTTCAGCATTCCACTGAGACCATTGTGCTGTCATGAATGTGGCCCAGTGTGGACTGAAGATGCTTATGCTGTGAGACATTTTAACCACCCAGCAGGGTTCCTGCAGAGCTCACCAACAGGGGTGACATGCTGCCACCAACAACATCATGCCCTGCCAATGCACTCAGGCCCTTCTTCTGCACGGCACTCATCGACAGTGAATTCTGCCCGCACCAGCACTGCCTCGGACCTGCATGCCGGCCCACAGTTTGCACCTACCTGCCATGTAAGTCCCTGTGGGGGCAAGAAATTTCGTTTCTCCATGTCGTCCAGACCAGCTCTGGGACTTGCCCAGTCTCCTACCCAGTGGGTACCAGGAGTTCTTTCCCCAAGCTGTGAAGGTGGCCACTCACCTCCAACTAGAGACAAGTTCAAGAAGACGTGGTTTTATACATCCACTCCCCCATATGTCTTCATGGCATATTGCGTAATCAGTTACGAACAGGGACAACTTAACCTTTTTACCTTTTCTATAGATCAACACTCAATAAGTTATTCTTGGGCTCAGTTAACTAAGCAAGAGACTTATTCATAACCTAGGCACTAGATGGACGTAGGCGATAAGCATTTTATGCTGGCCATTGTAATGATGGGGGCAGAGCATCCGGTGTCCAATTGTTAGGACGTTGAGTGGACCCTAGAGCTGATCAGGACTGTGAAGGAGAGAAAAGTCTCTTCATTCTGCCAGGAATCAAACCTGCTTTCTTCAGCCATCCACCACACAGCCCATCAGAGAAATAGTAGTTTTCACTGCTGTAATCTTATGCTGCGTTAATGGAACCCACATATAATATTCCTCTGTTGAAGGATTTACCTCATTTAATGTTCAGTTTTAATGTCCCCCAAGCTAGTAAACTCAAATCATCTCAATTTAAGGTTTTCTTCAGTTTGATGTTCGAATTCACTGGTGTCTAAAGATATCTTAAATTGAGATTTCACTGTATTCTTAGCTACCACCAACCTGAGCATAATCTATGAAACAGAATAGCAAGAATTAGCTTTTGAAATAAAAGTTTGCATTGTAAATTGACAGTGAAGTAATTGAACATGTATTTTTTGTAACTTTGGGTGATTGTTGGACTTACCTTGCAGGTCCGTCAGTTTGGCCACTGCACACCACACAACCATCGTTATCAGCTTTATCCACCTTTCCTGGTGCAGTCACAACTTTGTAGAGTTGCTCCTGAGCAGAATGCACTCTCAGGATGACCATCATATGTTCACATTGCAAATTATGCGCCTAGGCAACTGCAGGTATGTACTGAAGCATGGTCTATTGAGCAACGCTGTTACCACGAATCATTTTATGTTAAGAAATTGGAGGTTCTCGCTCCAGTAACTATGAAAAATTACTGTTTCCAGGATGTGTGAATGTGTAATCTAGTTGGATGAATATGTTTCCTCCATATTCTTCTACCCTGAAGACAGACACAGCTTGTTCCTGCAAACTGTTGGTAAATGTACACCAGACTACATGCCATCATATGCAAGAAGATCGTAGTCCTCATAGTCAGTGCAGCAGTAACCTCAAATCTCACATCAGGATTAATGTCCTGTGGGATGTTACACCATGCAATCTGGTATGGGTTTACTGACATTCGAGAGGAGCATACTGCCTCCATCATCAGGGATATGGAGGTAGTAGATATGCCTGAAAATTTGGTACTGTGTGCTAGATTGATGTCCATCTTCAGGGATATGGAGGCAGAAGATATGTTTGAAAAGTTGGTACCTGCGTACTAGATTGATGACTAACATCACAGAAGCCAGTGATTTTCTACTAGCAGTAGGAGAGTATAGCATGGCAAGTAAATTTCAGATGTCTTCTGCATTGTTTTTCCTGCATTTAGTTTGGGTTTTAGGCCTTTATGTTATGTCCACTTTTCTTATTATAGAGCTCCCAATGACAGAACACGATCACAGCTGCGTATATAGATGTAGTTGATTGACTTAGATTATTCTCTGGTTAAGATTAGCTATTTCAAATGGATCCACCTAAGTAGGACCCCTTCACCTCAAGGACAGGGACAGATCAGTGTTTATGAAACCATATGTTCATTCAGAATACAAGTTAATGGACAATATCCAGAACCTTAGTGATCCAGATATGTAATTTCTGACTTGCAGTTTCTCAATCCACTAATTATTCCTTGAGGAGTTACTTTTCTACAATAATATTTCATAATTTATCTCCTTTTAGTAGGTGGAATAATTCAGTGAGTGTAGTGAGTGGATTTCATAGCACAGTATTGACATAAAAGAAGTTGCTTTCCTTCTTAGGGCAAACATGCATCCATCAGGCGGCAGATAGTACTGGAAGAATGACATAATTGGATCGAGGAATTGTCCACCCCTGGTCCACATGGATGTAATTCGTGGGTCCTCACAGGGGCCTGTCCTACATCACCACGACACCATCCTAATACCAGCAACAGAGGGAGGTGAGAATACACGCCAATAGCCACTGCAACATATAATTTTCTAATTACTAAAATACAAGCTAATATCTGAATATGAAATTGGTTATACATCCTTTGAAGATGGGATGTAGTTGAAGTACAGTAACAGCGAAGCAATGTCTTCATCTTCATCTTCATCTTTATTAACATCCGTAACTGTTAC